TGAAGAAGCTGAGAACCAAAAGCATCTTACACCTATGCAGCTTTCCCTACATTGACATGATGTTATGAGTTCATTATCTTCAGTAACATAGCTTTGATATTCCTCTGTCTTCAACATCATGACTATAACTTGATTATCTGTTCCAAAAATTTTCTAAAACTTCACTTGTATGAACATCAAACTATTATTCAAACTATTATTAACAGCTCTTTTCCCCAAGATTCTTCAAACTCTTTGCTTGAAAACCCTTGCCTTGCCATGTCTTCCAATCTACAACTATTACAGCATTCTCCTTATGCAAACCCAATCAAGCCGTTTCCCCTCTGAGATGCCACAAAAACTGTCAAGGACTGTTCTCTTATGGCGTTTAAAAATAGCACAGCTTTGTACTATCAATAGCTTATTTTGGTGGCATTTATCTGGAACCAGTAGACATATATAACACAGATTCCTGAGCACGGTCTGCGGAGGTTCATATTCAGTATTTTTGGGGAGAGTCTACCCAGACTCCAGATGATTCTGAGGAGGGTGCTATGAGGACCACAATTTACTGCTCTAATACACAGCTGTGTTTAAACTTGCAGAACCAGGTAAGGTTAAAATAACGAAACAATTTGTCTCTGAGGCTAGGACAAATACAGTGACATGTACTCTGGTGTCCTTGTACGTGTGGGTTTGGTCCTGAGCTGTTCTGATTCAGGAACTCCATTTAATTTATCTATGGGTGGTGATAAAACTAAAGAGAACTGATACTTAATGACTAATCTCAAGAGAATTAGTCCCTATTCACAGGGCACATTTCCAATAATTGCTATATAGAATTCCTTTTGTTACCAATATTATGAGAAATAAATTTAAGAATTAGTACATGCTTTCTCAAAACACTAAAGGAATAGAGTTATAAAATATTTCAAATAGGCTGTGACAATCAATCTATGGCACTGTTCTTCTCAAAAAAAGAATAAAATATCTGAAGAGAAATGTGAGTAAGCTTTTACCTGCATGCAAAGGAGCCAGACCTTCAAAATAGAGGAGTTGGAGGAGACAAAATAAATGGTTCTTATAGTTCTATTTATTACATGGCAGTCACATTCCAAACTGGATAATATTTTATCATTTTTTAGAGATAGGATTTTGCTCTGTGACCCAGGCTAGAGTGCAGTGGTGTGATCACAGTTCACTGTAACCTCAAACTACTGGACTCAAGTAATCCTCCCACCTCAGCCTCCTGAGTAGCTAGGACTATAGGCAAGTACCACCATACCTGCCTAACTAAAACAATTTTTTTTTTTTTAATAGAGACAGGGGCTTCACTATGTTGCACAGGCTGGTCTAGAACTCCCAGCCTCAAGCGGTCCTCCTGCCTCAGCCTCTCAAAGTGCTGAGATTACAGGCATGAGCCACCATGCTTGGCCTTGGATGTTTTAGTCAGTTACAGGAGAAGCCGGGAAATTCCTATTCGTAATTAGGCAAAGAAACAAACAAAACATTTAAAAATCAATATTTTAGTATTTTTGAAAAATGACCCTAGAAAAAATAATATCAAGGACTAAGTGTAATTACATCCCATGGCAACCTGGAAACTCCTCTCATTTAATTATTATGATGGTTAACTTTATGTGTCAACTTGACTGGGGTAAGGGATGACCAGCTAGCTGGCAAAATGTTATTTCTGGGTATGTCTGTGAGGATGTTTGTGGAAGAGATTAGCATTTGAATTGGTACACTGAGTAAAGAAGATTGCCCTAACCAATGTGAAAGCATCATCCAGTCCACTGAGGGCTGGAATAGAACAAAAAGGTGGGGGGAAGGGCAGATTTGGTCTTCCTGTGTAAGACTGGAAGGCCATCTTCTCTTGCCTTGAGACATCAGCACTCCAGGTTCTCAGGCCTTTAGGCTGAGATTAGGACTTGCACCATTTGTCCCCCTAGTTTTCAGGTTTTGGGGTTCGGACTGAACTTACCCAGCAGCTTTCCTGGGCTTCCAGCTTGCAGACAACAGCTGGTGGGACTTCTCAGCCTCCACATTCATGTCAGCCAATATTTCATAATCAATCTCTTTCTACATATCTATATCTATCCTATTGGTTCTGTTTCTCTGGAGAACTCTAATACAATTACAAATTCAAAATTTGTGATTTCTGAGGACAGATATATGAGGACAGAGCTAAGCTGAAGGCAAATTTTCAGTTCATTTCTCCTAATTATCCACAAAATTCAAAACTACCAAAAAAGCAGCTGTCTTTAAAAGAATATCTGAATTTAAGCATATGTGTCAACTGCAAATACCCTAAAATATGCCACAATTTGAAGGCCTCCAAAATGAGAGATTAGAGCTAAGTTTGTTAGTTTATGCAAAGTGCAAATAAATTGCATGTTTCTAAACATGCCCCTTGGGAGGGGCACTGTATCACATGTGCCCTACTGATTTGGTCAAAGTGAGGAGCCTCCTACATGTTGTGTGTTCTTCCAACTAAAATTTTTTAACAATTAAAACTGAACAAAGGTTCATCTGAGCAGTTTATTGTAGCATCTTTATTCCATTTCTCACATAGTTTTCTTTTCTTTCCTATTTTTATTTTTCCTAATTTTGCTGTAAGTTTTGAGGTCTTCTTCTCTTAGGACTTTAGGCACAAGCATGATAATTTTCCTACTTGTTTTTTCTTTTTTGAAATTGCTTTGTTAGCTTGGAGTGAAAGGGCTGATCTTCTTGACCTTTGTTTTAAAAGATGCCCCTGTAAAGAAGCTACTGCTGTTTCCGTCCACTGGAGCAGTGGACATGAAGCCTAAGGAAATGGATACTTTATGTTCTGGCTCCAAGTTCTCCGCTTAGCCTATCTTAAGGTTTACATGGTGAAACCTAATGGCCACCAATTCATTATGCTTTCTGTAGCTATACCTATCCTTTGTCCTTGACTTTTACAGTTTCTCTCAGTACAGACATGAAATGTATTCCCCATACCAAGACTTGTAATTTGCTTTGACCAACAGAATTTGGCTGAAGTAAAGATGTGCCACTTTTCAGCAAAGGCCTCCTTCTGCATGCCCACACTTCTGCCATTGCATGAGAATATCCCTAGGTTAGTCTGCTAGTGGATCAAGGAACTCGTCCAAGTGTTCCCAGTCATCCTAGGTTAACCATGCCACATTGGTCAACAGCCAGTCAGCTCTCAGACCTGAGTGCAGCCCAGCCAAGATCAGCAGAGCCCTCAAGTGATCCAAAGCTGGCCACAAATGTGTGAGCAAGTCTAATTGAGATCAGAAGAGTCTGCCTGGAGTAGCTGAACCCCATATACCATAAGCTAAATAAATGTTTATTATAATGCATGGGTTTTATGGCTCCCATGCAGCATGACTGTGGCAATAGATAACTGATACCACAGGCAGTGGATGCAATGTAATTGTGATTACCTCCTGCTCTCCGTAGCAGCCTCATTCTGGTCACTTAATTAACCTCACAAAAACATAAGCTGACGTTATATGTCAGTGAAGCTCTTGGACCCTACTCATAGGTTTAAGTAGTAGTGTTAGTGGTGGTTTACTGTATTATCATTAAATTCTCCACTAATGAATTTAGAAAGGCCTCTGAAAAAGCTGGCATACTGAAACAGTGAATATGGGTGGGAGAAAAGCTACCCAAGAGCAAACTACAAAGATTATCTATCTGTCTATCATTTATCTATCTACCTATCTATCTATCTATATCTATCTATCTATCTATCTATATCTATCTATCTATCTATCTATATCTATCTATCTATCTATCTATCTATCTATCTATATCTATCTATCTATCTATCTATCTATCTATCTATCTATCTATCTATCTATCTATCTAATCTATCTAATCTATCATCTATCTCTATGCCTTCACAGTATATATAGTATACTGTGCCTTGATTGTAACATATATATATATATATTTGTGATATATAACAACCTGAAGGCACAGTATATGTCTGTAGTCTATTTTGTGTTGCTATAACAGAATACCACAGATTGGGTAATTTAGAAAGAAAAGAAATTTATTTCTCAGAGTTCTGGAGGCTGGGAAGTCCAATATCAAGGTGCCAGCATCTGGTAAGGCCTGTCTTGCTGTGTCATCCTGTGGTGGAATATGACAAGGCAGACAGCATGCAAGAGAAAGTGAGAGAACCCAACATGCTTTTGTAATAAACCCACTTGAGATAGCAAACACACTTCTGTGATGACATTAATCCATTCATGACCTCTAACCTCATGATCCAATCACTTCTTAAAGGTCACACCCCTCAACACTATGGAATTGGGGATTAAATTTTCAACACATGAACTGTGGGTGACACATTCAAACCACGGCAGTATGAAAGCAAAACTGGTTTGTTCTCGCTTCTATTTTCAGCTACCTAGTCAACAAGTTGCTAGAAATCAAGTGTTTTCTCAGGAATGCTTAATGTCAGCAGTACTTAATGGTACGCAGGATTTTTAAAATGTTTGTTCATCAGAATGTATCAGTCTTCTTTATTTTAACAAATTACATTTTAGATGATTTTTCTAGTTCATAGACAGCTTTTAATTTTAGAATCAAGCAACATGATTCTCAACATTGTTTCCCACTGAATGGCTTCAGAAATTGATTAAACCTACTAGTTTGGATAAAAATCACACAGTATTTGAGAGCATGAAACTAAAAGTAGATTTGAAAGGAACTTCATGTCAACAGCATCTAGTTATTAAAACACTCAATAGGGTTTATGTACATACCTTTACATCCAATATTACTTTTATCAAACAGCCTTCTATCTATAAAATGAGAATCATGTAAGTATATGTATGTGTAAGAGATGGGGGACAGAGAGAGAATGAGAGCAACAGGAGACTGTATTAGTGTGTATGAGAGAAACTGCAGGAAAATATGTAGATATATCAAGATACAGGCTCTCTCTATATCTTTATTTCATAAATGTGCATTCAAAACTCAGATTCTATCAGTGAACCCAGCTGAAGAATATCAAAGTCATCTTGTGTTAAAATCACTTTTATTCAGGATGAAAAATACAATATGTAACCAGATGATGATAGTCTGTGATTAGTTCTTTACCATATATTTCAAAAGAACTACATACTTACTTCCCATTGTTGTTACTACAATATATTTCTTTATATTTATTATTACTTAGAAGGTTACAATGTAGTGTTTTACGTAGCTTTTCCTTAATAGCAGATAGAGGACATTTTGCATACAAATGCAGGCAGAAAGAAAATTAATACATGACTTTTTAAAGTAAGAACAAGGAAGACACCAAATCTACAACTTGGAGTTGAGAGTTCAGGGAATTGTTTTTTCTTTAAATAGGTACTTTCTTGGGTATGACATGGCCTGATAAAAGCTCTAGACTTTGCAGACTGCAGCAGCATAAAGCAGTTTCCAATGCAATGGATGAAGATGGATCTGAGGTAGAAAGGTGGTCATGGCTTTCCTTTTATATAAAACAATTTTCTTCTTTTCAAAATATCTCTGCTGCAAATAGACACCCTTGCCCCCCAACCCACCCAACCTATTCTAAAATAATAGCAATTTCTAACTTCAAACTTCCTTCTGGCCAGATCCCAGCTAAAGAGAACCCAAAGTTAAAATGTCTTTATGTTTTAAAAGCAAATATGTTTGAATCAAAACATATCATTTTCACTTTTTTTTTTTGGTTCCTCTACATTTGGTAATTAAGTAACATGTTTAAACTGAATCAATTAAACGTTAAATCAGAAGCTAAACCAAAATACTTAATTGAATGCACTCAAAGATGTAGGTGGAGGTACCATCACGTAAGCATTAATTTCATTCTTCTGTAGAAGCAGTGACATAGATTTTTGATAAACATTCTTTCCAAATATATTGATCAAGTGAAGGGTATAAAAACATCTGATCTTTCACCCAAAAGGTAAAACAAGCTGTGCACTAAATGTGTGTCCGCTTTCAGTAAGAAAACAACTAGGAGATTCAAGAACTATTAAGGACTTGAAAATACAAAACAACAATAAAATTATCTTTGAACGGAACTAAAGGCAATGATGTGTTCTGGTATCACCATAGGTAAAGGTGTGCTGTGCATATAATGATGAAAATTAAGACATGGGAACTAGGAAAGATTGTACTAAAGTTTGTTTCTGTGTCAAAATGAAAACATGCTTAAGTGGGCAACCTTTGGTAATGTGATCTTTGAGATTATCATAATGTAGTCTTCTTTATCAAATAGATTAAGACATTAAATAAATAATTAATTCCTACTTACATAAAAAGGGAATAAAATGCAGGAAAAAATATCCCAAAAGAAATGCCATTTAGGCCCATAGGATTTTTATTACGGTTATCCAAGTGGACAGCAAAGAAGTAAATGGGCAACGTCAAATAAAGTTAAAAGGCATACACAGGGCTGTAGTTTAAACTATATGTGTATATATATAAGATATTTGATTGAAATTTATGAATTTATTAATATGGCCAAATCACGGAAACAAATACATGGGATCTATTTGGTTATATGGCTGATAAATTATAAATAACCAAAACATTGTGGTGAAAGAGTCAAAGAAATAATGAAGTTACTGTGCAACGTTAATAAGAACAGCAGAAGGAATGTAAAAATGTAAAGTGGTCTTCTAATTCTTATGTAAGCTTTGTCATAGTTATTAAAAAGATGGTATCTCATTAGAAAGCCCCCACCCACTTTCCCAATGCTGTATACATTATACAAATCCATAACAAATGTATTACCATTTCCAAATACCTCTCTGTTCATTAATTTACACTTGCATAGAAAGGGAAGAAGAAAACAATAATATATGGTTATTATAAAAACAAAATATCCATTTCTCTTTGGATAGGCAGTGTTTTACTCTTTCAGTAGAACACACAGTCAGCACTCAACACTGTGGGCCAAGGAGCCATGAAGCTTCTGATTAAATGGAACTTGGAATTGGCATTTGCTGAAAAGGGCAACACTGTATCTCAGGAAACATTGGCTGGCCGAATCACATTGCCTGTGGGAAGGGAAAATAGCACTGTCAGAACATTTGCATGAAACATCACAGGAAGCAGAGATTTGTCAATTCTTGAAGAATATAAAAGTGCTTCTTTCAGGAGTCTTAACTCCCATGTGACTTTTGTTTCCTGCAATGAGGTCCATCCCTCTCATGATGAAGTTACCTAGTCTGCTTTCTATCACTGCAGCTGATTTAGAGGGAGGTCTGAAAGTCTTTTCTCTTGACCAGGCTGAAAGCTAAGTTAAAATGGAGAGGACTTCACTTCTTTCTGCTGGAGGTGAGTGAATGAGGCTGGTGAGTGAATGAGGCTGGTGAAAATATCCCATGTCTTCCTGGGGGACTGTGGGAGGTCATCTGTAGAGGGGGTACCCTAACAATGCCAACCCATCTTGATCTCAAGCTGGAGTCCAGAGAAGAGGAAGAGAAGGCAGGAATCATAACCCAAGTGTGTGCAGTGGTGCCAGTTAAAGTTAAATGTCCCAGGTCAGAGACAATATAAATCCAGGCCACACTGACAGAAGTGGTATCAACCTTTTGGAGGGAGGGTCAAACTTTTGGTCTTCTAAAAGGATTTGAAATTAGAAAAAAATAAAGAAAATTATAAAATGAAATCATCCAAATTGGACCATGCCTCAAAAACCATAAAACACCATTCTGGACTCTCAGGAAAGATACTCAACTGCTTTACACCTTATTTTATGGGGGACTTTAGCATAAAGTCCTGCTCCCTGGAAGCATGTTCCTCATTGTTGCTGGAAAAGCTGCCCACGGAGCCCCTCCTTTTCCCAGGTATGCTGAAAGCGGCAAACTCATTGGACTCTGGCCTAGAGCCTATTCTCCATGACTATACAAACTTGGATTCTTCAGACACTTGCTTCTCCATTGTGAACATTTGATTGCCATGTTAGAGGGAGCAAAAATTCAGCAAACATTGATGGGTTCCAGGCATTGTACTGAGGTGAGGCCCTCCTGTGAAGCAAGTGTGGAAGATATCTCAGCCAGACAGCCTCATTCAATTCTAATATGAGTTAAGTGCCAGACCTAGTAAATTCAAAGTGCTTTGAGGACACAGAAGGGGAGAGATTAACTCTGTATGAGAAAGGAACATTTTGTTACATACTAATATTGATAACTGAAACTCTGGCACAGATTCATGTTGAATATAAAGCCAAGAGGAGTTTTGCATTCTGTCTATATACTCCATTATCCTTGAGAATTAGATGTGTCTATTACTTGGACACACAATATTTCTCCTTTTAGGTGTCAGAATTCTAAAAATTTAAGTTCAGGCTATGTAAGCATTAGCTCAATCCTCCATGTGAAAATATATAATTTTCATGAATTTCCATTTGACCCAAGACATGATAAATGAAGAAGAGGGAAGAGAAGGAAAATGCTGAAGGGTAAAGCAAAGAACAAAAAAACAAATGGAGAGGGAAGGAAGAAAACGGGAAAGGGGCCTCTTGTATTGAGTTAGATGTCTGCTTCATCCACTAAGTTGCTGTATAACCAGGAACAATTTAGCTCTTTGTAAACTCAATTTCTAAAATCTAGAAACAGAGTAGGAGGAGAAGGCCTCCTAAGATCATTTTCTGCTTTAAATTCCGAGCACTTGTATTATAATAAGTATTGGAGGATTTTAAAAGACTCTCTCTTCCCTCCTTGCCTTTGTCATTCACAGCCTCATTCCACCTGGGGACCATCAGGACTAACCTCATTTTACCCTTTATCCTTAATTTAATGGGCCACCCTAAAAAGCTCTAGACTCCTGGTCGCCTTTCCATCACCTGTATTCTAGTCATATAGAGATCTGCATATCCCTTTTTGTGTCCCCATGCCTTGCCCTTCCTAGCTCTTGAAACCTGTCCTATAGGTCATGTGGCCTGTGATCCACAAAATCCAGATTCCCAAACCCTTCTCTGAATGCTGCCTGCATCTACTTGCTCTAATCAATATCTGCATCTACCTGAAGACACAGTTTCCCTCATAACCCTCTCACATAGCACTTCCCCTCCCTCCCCTCCCCCATTCCTTATACACTGCATAAGTCTTCCTGGGTCCTCATTGAGGCCTTTGGGGTATCTTCTTTCTCTTCTCCCTAAAAACAGCCAGCTTTGAATCTTAAGTCATCAGACTACACCAATCCATTATGCAGTCATCTACTGACTCCGTGGGTCATATTCCTTCACTTCTTGAAGTAAAAAATGGCTCAATGTCACCCACTCTAAAGCTGTTTTTAAATGTCAGTGATTTCAACACCCATGGAGATGATTCTCCAGCACTCTGGCTTCTCGGATCTTTAGGCTCTTTTCCTCCAATGGTCCTGTCCTCCACCCTTCTTAGCCATTCACACAAAGGTCCAAATATGGACCATTACCAATACTTGGCAACCCCTCTAATTTCAATATCATTCAATCCAGCTTCTGACAACCACCTCTACCTCTACAGCATACTTCCCCTACAACTGCAAATTTATCCATCCTTTGATAATAGGATCCATTGATCCTCCCGTCTTTATTTCTGTCTCCCACACTGGACATTTTCTCATTCCTTTTGCTACTGAGCTGAAGCATCTGGTTCAATCATTATAATCACTTCTTTGCCTCTTCCCTTGAATCACTGTGCTCACTTTGTCAAACCCCAACTTCAACTTTTTAAATGCAATACTCAGCTCACTCTGGTGCCTCTGCTCATGAACATGAATATGCCTAGAGGGCAACTTAAAACCCTGCAGAATGGCCTCATGTTAAATTCATGAGTGGCATCTTTAATGCTGCTTGTAGTCACACTCTATTTCCCAGGCCATCTGCTCTTCTATTCTCCAAGAAGCTATCACACATCCTCCAGTCTCTCCTCGCACCTCTGACAACTTCTCCCCAACCTCACTCCCTGCTGAAGTCCTAGCTTCCAATTCACTCAGACAACAGAAGCAAGCAGGAGAGAACACCCACAGCTCACCACACCCCTAGTCTACTTCACATACTCTTGTCTTTTAGTTAAGATCCTAGCCTCTCTTGCCAATAAGACAATCATTCAGCAGGTTTATTGTTTCAAAAAGATTAGCAAACAAGTTTATGAAAGAAAATGTTCTCCAAAGCTGCTGTGGCTTTGTGGCACATTATTACTAAAAGTATGTGATAGAAAATGTGAATGGAAAACAAAATCTCAGGATCCCTAACTCACTATGCTAAAGGGAAAAATTAAATGTGGGAACTGAGTCACACAAAAACTACCTTCCTACACAGATAGTTGCAAAGATAGAAGGCCAGTGACCTCCCTCACAAATTGCTCACAAGGAAATTTCTAAGGGCCCCCAAATCTTTACCCAAAAGAGTTTTGTTGAATTTCACCCAGACAATGTGAATTAACAGCTTATCTTTACAGGACAAAGGCAGGACTAGAACTCATCTCTCCGCCCACCCTGAGGAAAATGCGTATTTGACTGCTTCTTCTACTCTGGGCATACTTTATCTTACATAAAATGCAGATTTACTGAGCGTGAGACAAATGCATAATTGACTGTTCCTCCACCCCCTCCTGCCTGCTCTTTCCTTTTTGTGAAGTCCTCAAAATCCTTTTTTTTTGAGGGGGGGGGAAACAAAAACAAAAACAAACAAACAAAAAACAAAAACAAAAACAAAAAAACAACAGCAACAAAAAAACCACACACAGGCTACAAATCCTAATGAAACTTATGTCTCTTTTTCCCGGGTATGTCCTCAACCTTGGCAAAGTAAACCTCTAAATTGATTGAGACCTGTCTATACACTTTTTGGTTTATAGAAAATACTAAAAGGCATAAGGCTATAGCTGCCAACAGTTCTCAGCAAATTTTTAAGTAAAAAATTGAAATATTTTCCCCCTCAAAGTAACAAAACCATCTCTGTGGTACCAGTCATTTTTTTTTAGGTCAGTGTTCTGTGATAGCCACCTTAAGTACACATTTGAGAGAGCAGTGGTGGCCAAATCTATCTAGAGTGACTTTATGTAGCACATAAGATGCCATTAAAAAGCTGTTAGAACACAAAGGATCAAACACATGGTATTTTCGGTATCTGTGGCTTGGGAGCCACCCCCCAACCCCAGACTGACAAACTGCTGTACAGAATCAACTAACATTTAAATGTCAAGTAAGTTTACTTATTTACATGGAGAATAAAGTAGGAGTAAAATCAGTGGTGGATAACCTGCTTACTCTAGGTTGGGATCAGTAACATAGAGCCAACCAACCCATTAACTCTTACCTGTGGCCTGCTGGGAACATTTGCTGAAAGAGAAAACAAAAGAAATCACTTAATGGCAGTCCCCTTACTTTGTTGGTTCCAACTTTCAGGCACGCAAACACGTGGAAAGTATCAGTCTACATAGGGTAATAATAGCCCAGCTGTTAAATGGATGCTAATAGGAAAACCCCACTTTTTTTTTCCCAGCTTAATGCTTCAATGAAGGCTAGTTTTCCTGGTTAGTTTCTCATATCCCATGTGATTTAAGATTTAGTGCATACGCTAAAGCATTTACTGAGCATTTAGTCTTGCAAAAAATCTCATTTCCTATTTAAAACACACTGTGTATTTGGTTTTTGTATCAGAACAGAACATGTTCTACTTACTTTACTGAGCACTAATTCTGACCAAGGGACCACTGGAGGCATAAGTCTTTGGTTTCTGCCTCCCTTGACCTACCCTTGTCACACCCTGGACCCTAAGGCCCAGGAAAATGGTGGCCAAGTACTTGTATCAAGGAAAGCACTGGCCTAATCCTCTGTGTCCTTCTGGACACTTGGGATAGTAATAGTGCCTGGGATGGGCCCAACTAGGAACACTGGAGAAGTTAGAATATGGCATCTAATTCTTCTTTCCACACAGATAGCTCAATTCCTTTTTGGTTCCAGAGCCCATGGCAGTGAAGATGATCTGGCGGGCATTGCAAGGGCAGCCACTAACATCTCTTCTCTAACACATCTGCTTTTCATCCCCTCTTTTGCTACATGATCATCTCATTCTCAATGCTGGGAGAAAAAAGAGGAGATCTGTCCCCCAACAATGGCAACATCTGTTCTTGGTCAAATAAGAGTTGTCCCTAATCATCTAGCATGCTGCACTCCTTCCATCTCTCACTGTTTTATGCTGAGTGGGAGAAAGGACATCAGTGACCATGTGCTGTGTGCCGGGAGCTATGTGAGAAAAAAAGAGCAGGCATGAAGAGTACCCTTCCTATAACGTATGGAGGGAAAGTGTGAGCCCCAGTATTTGGGGGAGATATCAGGCTAAAAGGAGCCTAGTTCTACCAGATCTGTAAGTTACATCCAGGAGAAAAGAGTGGAGCTCCACAGTGTCCAGGGGATAGCTGAGTTGAATTATTATTAAGTACACCATAGGTTTACACACTCTTTTTAAAACAGACAGAGTTATGCGTCTCTTGCAAGTAACAAATATAACAAATAGCCAAACCCTGGACAGAAGTCTAATCCATTTTGCTCCAAACCAATACTTTTAACCTTACAGCCTTTTATCAAATAAAAGGCTATGGGTATTCGCCTGAACAAATCACACAAAAATATTTTAAAAAGGAAATAACTGCATTGCAGTGGGTTTTTGGTTTTTGATGAGTGCCATTCAAGCTTAATAAACATAGGCAATTCATAGTAAAAATATGCCTGTGGGTCAAAAATAATTTTGAAAGCATTTGGTGGTCTATCAGCAAAAATTAGTTGGCTTACTGCCAGTATTCTATACATTTAAAGGACATAAGTAAAAAATGGACAAAAAAATTTTATACCAAAAAATAAAAATAGTTACTGCAGTCAGTATGCATATTTGTTAATTGGCAGTACAGTTAAACCCCCTTCATTATTTCCTTGCCAGGAAGTGACGGAAATGCTTGCTTCTCTGCTCTAAGACTCAACATAAATAATTTAAAAAAGACTTCAAAAGGCCATAATTCAAGGATGTGATCAGGACCAACTGGGATATTAATTCAGACAAAGGAGTTCTAAAGTGTTATGTGCAACAATGTGTAGACACAGTTAAAAAACGGTTATATTAAAGTAGGCAATTCACACAGTTAGGATTTATGAATACAGAGTTTCATTTTAATTCCAAGATTGCCAAGAGTGGAAATTCATTTGGGGCCATGTTAATTTTTAATCCAAAAAGGATAAAAGTCAAGATTAACATGCAGATCAATTCATTGTACGCTGGCGACAGGCATTTTTAAAGTTCTCATTAGTTACAGGGGCTCAAGGGATTGGTTTGGCATTGGGAGGGTGCCAATCCAATTTGTTTAGATAAATTCTCCAAAGGTGGTTGGTAAGCTTTGGGAATCACAAAAGCTTATTAAAATATTTGCTGGCTGAGCAACTTCAAAGGGACAAAAGAATAAATGAATCCTACAAAACCTTCTGAGTACTATCTAGGAATGCTTCAAGGAAACCTTCCCAGCGAGAAAATGTAATCATTCACTCAAGTCAGAAACATGTACTGGGGCCAGGTGTGGTGGCTCATGCCTGTAATCCCAGCAGTTTGGGAGGCTGGGGTGGGTGGTTCACTTGAGGCCAGGAGTTTGAGGCCAGCCAGGCCAACGTGGTGAAACCCCATCTCTACTAAAAATACAAAAATTAGTTGGGCATGGTGGCATGTGCCTGTAGTCCCAGTCACTTGGGGAGGCATGAGAATTGCTTGAGCCTGGGAGATGGAGGTTACAGAGACCCGAGATCGTGCCATTGAACTCCAGCCTGGGCAACAGAGTGAGACTCTGTCTCAAAAAAAAAAAAAAAAAAAAAAAAGAGAAAGAAACATGCACTGGGCACCAAGTCTACCTCCCATGATGATTTCTATTCTGCATCAATTTTTAAAAGTTTTAATAATTATAGGCAGAATATGAAAATATGTATCAATTTTATAAATAAGTCAATTCAGCTTTTATTTTTATGGAAAGCTGTCCCTATCTTGTATATGTTTATAATACCAGAGAAAAAATATGAATAGCAGAACTTTCAGAAGCCAAGACTTAAAACATGGAGATTTCAAAGGATTCTAAAATACACTTTTCATCATTTCATACATGAATGTGCTTGAATTCTTGAAAAGAAGACATGACTAGTAATGTTCATTCAGAAAACTATGACTATTATAAATATTTGTGAATGTGCATAGTTAAGACTATGAGAACACGAAGCCAGCTGCTCCAAACCAATACTTTTAAACCAATAGCTTTTTATCAAATAGACGGCTATGGGTATTTTACATACAAACATATTTAAAAGGAAATCATTGCATTTCGGTAGGTTTTGAGTTTTTGACGAATGTGGTTCAAGCTTAATAAACATTAAGGAATCTTAGAACTCCATAAACCACTCTCTGAACACTGAGAATGACATTGGTGAAGATGGGACCAATGCAGGAGAGAGGATGAATCTCTGTGATGTGGATCCCATTGAAGGGTACTCTGTATACTCCTCTCAGGAACCAATATCAACGAATAGCTAACAAGATGCCCAACAAATAGGAATTTTATACTTGCCTTTAAAGGGAGGCCATAAAAACAGATACATACATTTACCTCTTACAATTCATTTTTGCTCTAAATTATGATTATTTATTTTTAATAATGTTCTTTTTTTAAAATTTTTTAATTTTAATTTTTTTAATTTAAAAATAACATAATAATGTTATTTTTAATAATGTTTTAAAGCCACATGGGTCAATCTTTTGTAAAATCTAGATGTCAGAATATACTTTGAGAAAAATTTAAGAGTAAATTCTTTAGGAAATGGAACTTGTAAAAAATTCTACATTTTTAGAGTAAAATTTTTAATATGGAAATTATATATTTTATATTTATTACAAGGTGTACATTGAAACACATTTCCCACCCGGGCTGTCACTGCCAACTGACTTTTACAATTGAAAATGTCCACCATGATATTTAAATAAAAACTTCTAAACATGCTTTGATGTACAGAATTTGTTTTCAACTAATTATTAAGGTTATTTAGGTACAAGCTGGACTAAGAAGTAATTTCCTTTAAGAATTTAATTCTGGCTCAGAAAGACTATGATGAGGTTTTATCTACTTACTAAGTAACATACAACTGAAAATCAAAACCTCTAAATAAATTTGACCTTGACTTATAATTAATAAACAAGTTTTTATCAGTTTGTCTATTACGGTGGTTACAGAGCCTAGAAAATAAGCAACAATCTGGTAGCATGTGAGCATTCACTGACCCTCTTAAGCTTTTGTGAGACTCTACAGAGTCGAAAGTGTGTCTATATGTGTGCACTGAAAGGACACAAAGATAGATGTGTACCCGCCCCCCCAGCTACACCTTTTGTTCTGCTCTCTAATCTTTGCACATACCAGAGATTTCGTAAGTTCTGTGAGTACCTGTTTTTCTGCACGTGCCAGAGATTTTGTTTTGCACATACCAGAGATTTCGTAAGTTCTATGAGTACCTGTTTTTCTGCACGTACCAGAGATTTTGTAAAGGTCACAAGATGTGTTTAAGTAAGGTAAACTCCTGCTGCCATAAACCTGCTCTCCCGCCTCAAAGGTTGAACCGAAATATCAGAAATGGCGGGAACCAATCATAGTTAGCCAAATCGCCTTGTTCAAACACTAGCCAATCATATATCTGATTTGTATAATAACTCTATGCCCACTTTTCTTAGACTATATAACACTGCTCGGAGCTCAGTGGGGGAGCTCTCCTGCCCGTCTCATTTCGCGAGCGAGGGAGAGTTCCAAGTTCGAACCTGTAATAAAGATCCTTGCTGCTTAGCTTTGACTCTGGACTCTGGTGGTCTTCTTCGGGGAATAAACGGTCTGGGCATAACACACATGTGTGTGCACATGCATGCATGTGCTTTGTGGAGTAGGGATGTGGGTGTGGAGACTGAAATAGTGTAAATGTGATTCTGCAAACTTTGAGAAGCATCAGAGTAAATCTACAAATAAAAACCTGGGAAACAAAACACTAGCAAAATACAAATAGATACATTCATGTGCTGGTGGAAACCATAATATATCTTTAGGCAAATATTCCTGAAAATTCAGAAAGAAATATATTTTTTATTTATTTTTGTTGTTGTTGTTGCTGCTATTGTTTTGAGACAGAGTCTCACTCTGTTGTCCAGACTGGAGTGCGGTGGCAGGATCTCAGCTCACTGCAACTTCAGCCTACCGGGTTCAAGCGATTCTCATGCCTCAGCCTCCCAAGTAGGTGGGACTACAACTATAGGTATGTGCCAGCATGCCTGGCTGATTTTTTTTTTTTTTTTTGTATTTTTAGCAGAGATGGGGTTTCACCATGTTAATCAGGCTGGTCTCGAACTCCTGACCTCAAGTGATCCACCTGCCTTGGCCTCCCAAAGTGCTGGGATTACACTCATGAGCCACCACATCTGGTCCAGAAATATATTTTAAATAGCTGTTTTCACATTCTGCTAATGATGGCATTTTAAAAATTACAAAGTCTTATAAAATAAATAATAATTTTTAAATGAAGTAAATATATATTATTCATCTACACTTCTGATAATTTATAATCTCTTTTTCCTCATTTCGGATGGCTTTTTTTTTTTTTGGAGAGATAGTCTCGCTCTGTCTCCCAGGCTGGAGTGCAGTGGCATGATCTCAGTTCATTGCAACATCCGCCTCCCAGGTTCAAGTGATTCTCCTGCCTCAGCCTCCTGAGTAGCTGGGATTATGGGCGCATGCCACCATGCCCATCTAACTTTTGTATTTTTAGTAGTGACGGGGTTTCACCATATTGGTCAGGCTGGTCTCAAACTCCTGATCTTGTGATCCACCAGCCTCGGCCTCTCAAAGTGCTGGGATTACAGGTGTGAGCCACCGCGCCCAGCCTGGGATGGCATTTTCTAAGGAGATGACAGAAAAGGGTAAAATAAGAGGCTATGCTTTACATGAATTCTTATTTTGGTGACTGCCTTGGATTTAAAATCAGTTTAAGAGTAAATCTCTCTAAAATTACAAATAATGTCTTCGTACCCTTTGAAAGATTATTTAAAATATAATTGTAGCACAGAGTAATTTATATATATTTATATATTTGTATGTGTATATATACATTTATTTATATAAACAGTTTACTTGTATGTATATATTCTGTTAGAAACACCAGAAGTGTTTTAGGTGAGAGCTCAGCCAAAATTGCAAGGTGGCAAGAAGCTGAAGACAAAACATTTGGAAAAAAATGAATAAGTAAGAATTATTACATAATTTCCCCCGGAATTTGGTTATTTTCTGGCTCTGTTGTTCAGATGGAAATTTCACAGGGTCCTAATCTATGATGCCTTAAATTGTTTGGACTTTATACAATGACTATTTTATTCCACGAGAAAAGAAACCAGCAGGAATAAAAAGGGAAAATCTGAAAATAATCCCTTTCTGCACTAGAGTCTGATGACACTGGAGAACAATGTTTGAAGAAAACAGAGGGAATTACACTAGAAAGGCTATTTTCATGCCTTGTTTGGCATGCCACTGGAAGCTTTTCTTTGAACTAAGATGTGTTCCTTATGATAGCTTGCATCGAAGAGGATGATTTCTTCTTAAAAACAGACTTAATTTTTATTTGTCTTCATTTTATCACCCGTCGGGCATACTGAAAAATCTCAAAGAGCAGAACTATGTTGCAACTGTACTCCCGTGACTTGATAGTATCTAGGTTGAGCTTCATTTTCTTATATAATGTTTGCCTTATTTTCAAACAATATTCAGTCCTGTTTGTAATAAGGTTTTTGCTGTCTTAAGGAAGAAGGCGAAGGGCCGCATGCAGAAAAAGAGAAAGGGAAGGAACACGCACAGCTGTGGTGTTGCGATCTTTCCTACTCACGGCAGCAAGATGGAAATGTGCTGTGGATCTGCTCCATGACCTCCGTGAGATCTGTGCTGGTGTCATGCGGTGGGGCCAGCAAGTCCTCTCCTGCTGTGACAGCAAATACAGAGAACAACAAAGCTTCTCAAGTTAATGTCTAGCCTTCCACTAAAACCCAAATTCAGGAGGAAATGCTCCCACCAGCCTCTAAATATCAATGTGAAAAGAGTTCCCGTTGCAAAGGACAATTTTAGGGGAATATACCCAAAACACTTTTGCTTTAGTGTTGGTAAAATAATTTTATATAATGAACATATACTAGATGCTTGTTTGTGTAGAAAGAATCCACACACCAGGGGACTGAAAAATACGAGACTGAAAAACAAGTAATATAGTCTTACTATTTCAGTGTTTGAATGAGAAATCTATTATTTTTGCACCACAGGTATTTTTTCATACAAAAAAAAAAAAAATCCACCAATTTCTTTTTCTGTCCTCCTTTCTTTTCGGAGACTTCAGCTTAGGCCAGTTTATCCTGCCACAAAAGTAAAGGCATCTTATGTAAGATACTTTTCACTAGGATGTATTTTCTTTTCTATAATCAATAGTCGAAATAATTCTCTTATTTAAAAAATATGAAAATAATCTTAATATTTTAATATATATATTTTTTTAGACGGAGCCTCCCTCTGTCATCAGGATGGAGTGCAGTGGTGCGATCTCGGCTCACTGCAACCTCCGCCTCCCGGGTTTAGGTGATTCTCCTGCCTCAGCCTCATGAGTAGCTGGGACTACAGGTGTGTGCCACCACACCCAGCTAATTTTTGTATTTTTAGTAGAGATGGGGTTTCACCATGGCCTCCCAAAGTGCTGGGATTACAGGCGGGAGCCACCATACCTGGCCAATATTTTAAATTTTTTCTGGTTAATGTACCAAAAGATATCCAACCAACAAATTAACTTGGTTACAATATATAGTTCTCAATAAAATTCTAGAATTTTAATTTAATTGATAACAAAATGTCATTGGTGAACACCTAGTTTACTGAGTCCTTCCTAGCATCAGTGACAGGTCCCCATGGTGACCAAGGATAGGCTGCATGGGTCCTCTGCCTCTAATGGGACAGGCAGGATAATGTCTATGTGGACTAGGATGAAGAAAAGTGAATAAATGAGTTTCCAGACCTTGTCAGAGAAAACAATAATGTTTGCTATAATATTATTAGTTCTGAATATGTACCAATATAAAATTTTGGAGACAGAAAGTGTACTAAAAAAATCATTCACAAAGCAAATAATTTAATTTCTTGTTCATTATAAAAGGGAAGAGGAGGTTTTTTCATCTTTCACCAAAATTCAGTCCACTACTACAGATTATATAAACAAGTGTATTATAGCTTATTTGAGAATGTTTGCTTTTTGATATTGTTGAAATGGATTTGCACTTATTTAAGATCGAATACAAAACTCTTTTACTTCCTAAGGCACCAGTGTGTAAAATGTTACTTAACAGGAAACACAAACAAATGGCAAAGCAGAAAGCAGACTCAGCAGAGGAGCTGTGTGTTGGGGATACTGACCTGCCTGGTGGAACTGTGCGCCAGAGGCATCCAGATCAAGCGAGTAGCTCAGTGCAGAATGCTGAGGAGAAGCCCACGGTGAAACACCATTGATTCGGGTATCAGATTCAGGCTGGAACCACATTCAGGGGTTAAAGCAAAGAAAAGATTCAAATAATCATAAGGAAAAACATTTCCTTTTTAACTTTCCCTCCCTCACCATGGATAATTAAATCATATAGAGGTCTTTGCCTTCAGATGTGTTCAATACATTTTAGCATCAGCGTGGTGGGGGCTTTGGTCCTTCTCTTTCTGCTTGGACACCTTGAAGAATCCACCTGGTTATGCTGCAAGATTCATTTATCAACATCATTTTTGTCCCTCAGTTTTCTATTGTTTTAATGTTAAGTGAATTCATAAGCATATTTCACTCATATTTTAAACATCAGCCCTGGGTTTCTAATACAGTAAATTTATCCAATTTCAAAATCAGCTTATATTTCAAGGCAATATTGAAGAGTGGTCAGAAGCATGATTATGGATTCAGATTGCCTGCATTCTAATTCCCACTCTGCCACTCAGAAGCTGTGTAATTCTGGGAAAACTATACCTTAAGTTCTTTACTTGTAAAATGGTGAGGGTAATAATAGTGTTGTGTTATAGGGTTTTGTGAGGGGAGTGAAGAATGACTATTTCTTAAATGGTTAGAACAGCCTGACACCTAGTAAATACTTCGTAAAGGCACTCACACAAATCTTTGATACCGTGATGGATATGCTGACAAGTATGTGGTCAAATTAGAAAGTGCGAGCAACCATATAGGGAATGCAGATGTTACAATTTTTTCATGCAGATTTTTCCATTAAATCTATATTAGTTGAAGCCTGGTAGTTCTGTCAGTTTTCACTATCAGAGTTGAATTTTTCCGTCTACTTCTGGCATTCATCATGCTAAATTGTTTAGAAGAGATAAGAGCTCTGCAGTCCTGGATATAGAGAGCCATTTGGATATCAGCTATCTCTAAAAGCATTACTGTGCGATTCTCAAGGCACATGAGCCATTAGGCAGCACTGTCTAATGGTATGGAGGGAGTAGGGGAAGGCAAGAGTGAACAGAAAAGCCTTTGGCTCTCCTGTGAGCATTAACCAGCCATGGCAAATAAAGGTTTTGAGCACAGCTTCCTTCTGCAGCGATTCCATCTATGCACTAAGCTGTTAACACTAACACTTCATATTCTAAACAAGAGATTGCAAGAGAAAATCCATCCCTTACATAGCACCATTCGGATACTTCAATTTCATGAAATGAAAAATGTAACTTTTTCAATGTATGTGGCTGGCACTAAGTAAGACTCAAACATTCCAGAGGGCTTCAAGAAACCCACATCTTGGGTCACTCTTGGGAAACTCTTACTTTCCAAATATGTGAGATTGGGAGGCCCCGAAGTAAGCCTTCCACTGAACGGCCTCACCCAAATTCTGAAACACTGAGAGACATAGAGAAAAGTGTATGGTCAGATTATAAAGAGTGATCCATGTGTAGGTAAGGCAGAAATGACACTGTTTTGAATTATCCTGATAAGTTAAAAAGACTGAGAACAACTGTGAAAAGGTAGTTTTCTAAAATTTGAGAGAATCACTGGAGAGAAAGTTGTTCCTGCTTTGAGACAATAAATCATTCCTGGAGAAAGGCACTCCTATGATACCGCCTAGGAGCTCCACACAGCACAGGCTAGAGAGAAAGACAAAAGATGACATGCATGTTGATGTCAGGGATTCTTCAAGAGAGAGGAGCTCTTGGCCCCTGTGCTGGGACTCTACAGTCTCTGCACCTGCTGCAAAGGTCTCTCCATCACTAGTTCTGAGACATCACTCCTATTCCTAACTACTATGTGCCATCAAGCACTTAAATCCCTGCAGTGTGCTGTGTCTTTATATATGAAAGTATCTTGCTGTGATCTCTAACTAGATGGCAGGCACCAGAAAGGCAGAAACTGTATTGATGCTTCTTTTATATCCCAAAGAACAGTGTTTTTCGAAACTGAATGTAATAACCCATTGATGAGTTATAGAATCAATTTAGTAGGTTCTGACCAGCATTAAGAAAGAAAAATAGAAGGAAGAAAGGGAGGAAGGAAGAAACGGAAAACAGAAAATAAGAGCTGGCATTTCTCTATAAAGGCAAGTATTATTTTGTATTCTGCATATATGTATGTATTCATCATAATGTAAATTGTATTTCTTATCGTTCAGAAAGCTTGCAAGCAACTCCCATAAAACATGGTCCAGTGTTAGGAAATAATAGTAGCAAATTAATAACCTTCTTTTACTCGATTTCTTGAAAATAGAAAACAACGATTCTTGGAGTCAGCAGTCTTGTCTCACTGGAAGAAAGCTTTAATGCTGATTTCAGGTCTCTTGCTGCTCCTTAATACAGAGGCTTCCCAGGTATAATTTAGGAAGATATATGTCGTAGGATATTTTCTCTCAAACAGTTCAGAGCTGAGGCAGACTTCATTGTTAAACAAGACCGGGAAATTCCATTATAAGCTGGGCAAACACATTTTTGTGTGCTAGTGAGGATGTATATGCTTACATGTAAAAGGAAATTTCTAAGCCAGTCTAAATTAACTACAGAGGTAAGAAATTGAAAGCGGACTTGTCTGCCTCTCCTGACACCTGGGCCATGTCCCAGCAGTGCACAGTTGGCCTGGGGAGGTGTGACACTGAATTCTACACACCTACCTGCTCCAGCAGCTGTCGGAGGCGGTGGAGCTGAGACTCCAGCTGTTTATTGTGATCTTCTAAAATCTGCATCCTAGCTTCCAGTCTACCTTTGTGCTGCCTGAGGAGTTTTGCTTCTGCTATAAGTTCTGAATCCTCAGACGTGTGATGGGGAGATACAATCGACTCTGGCGGTGAACCAACAGGGAACCCCCTTCGGAGGTGCTGGTCCTTCAGCTGCTCATACTCCACCTGTAGATTTCTAATACAGAAAGAGGGAGAAACAGAATTACTACTATGAGCATTATCTTCTCTCCAAAATTGTCTGTGAAGTTCAAATTTAGCTCATGCTAGTTCCTCTTATATAAAACTATGTATTAATAGTAGGATGAGCATGCATGAATAAAATTGTAGTTTTTTATTTTTTATTTTTATTTTTTGAGACGGAGTCTTGCTGTGTCGCCCAGGCTGGAGTGCAGTGGCGTGATCTCAGCTCACTGCAAGCTCCGCCTCCCAGGTTTACACCATTCTCCTGCCTCAGCCTCCTGAGTAGCTGGGACTACAGGCGCCTGCCACAGCGCCCGGCTAGTTTTTTTGTATTTTTTAGTAGAGACGGGGTTTCACCATGTTAGCCAGGATGGTCTCGATCTCCTGACCTCGTGATCCGCCTGTCTCGGCCTCCCAAAGTGCAGGGATTACAGGCTTGAGCCACCGCGCCAGTCTTAAAATTGTAGTTTTAAGCAAGTGTCCCAGCAGACATCATCACTGAACCCCCAAATGCTGCTGTATTGCAGCCAGCATCCCAGTTTGTTAATGTTCTCTCAAATTTTCACTCCACTGAGATTTCTTAGACAATAGTCTTGGAAAGAGAATAAATAGGGGTTACAGTGAAATTCATATGAAAGAAAGGATGACATATTTCCTTCTCCCAGGCCTAGCACACCTTTGTTCTTCCTCTAGGTCAGCAATGATCCTCTCCAGTTCTCCACGTTCTTCCCTCTCTACCGACTTCAGGATCTGAGCTGGGCTTTGTGGCTGGCTCACCGGGGACTCTCCTCCGAGTGTCTGGCAATACTGCTGGATGAGGGCGTGCTCGTCTTCCCTAGCAAGACAAAGGAAACAGACCCAGAGGCTCACATCTGGATGGTGATGTTTTTGGACATAAAGGAAGTAGAAATAGTGATGGACAGGATAGTGGCTGGGACAAGTTTGTCTTAGAGCTCAGTGTCTCCATGACCTCCCTTTTAAAACTCTAGGAAGAAGTTCATCTAGCAGAGCATGTATATTATACGAGCCAACATTTCAGGCTTTTCTTTCATCTAAAAGCTCTATCTCACAAACTTCAGAAGGGATATCTTAGCATAAAAAACAAAAATAAGGAACAACATTTAGTGTAAAAGATACTGTAGACAAAATCAATTACTCCATGCCTAAAGAGTTGATTAAAAGACTACTGAATTAAGAATCATCTGACTTCACTGTCTTCAGAATTTAGTTGAAAGTAATTTTGAAATGATTTGTAACCCATATGATGGGGTTTATAATCCTTATGTTCTTTTATTTAAATAGCTCAGCACAAATCATAATTGTAGATATTTATAACATCTCTACAGATACTTTATATTATTAGCAGGTCATTTTTAGGGTTGATCACTCTGCATTAGAACAAGAAACTACATTTAATACATGAAGGTTGTCCCACTTACCTAACTAATTATCTAATGAACTAGACACAGCAGTAACGTGGTTGAATTAGTAATTGACATAAGTGAATGTCTAACAAAGTTGATATATTTATGGCAAGAAAATGCTTTCTAGCAGACTCGGAATTTCTTCTCTTCTTTTAACAAGAGAGATCCAGTGAGATCTTATAAATGTGCAAATACCAGATCTCCTGGCTAATGCTACCAGGGCAGATGACACCTGGTCTGTTTTGATGGCTTTTGGTAAACAAGTCCTGGAATCGATGGCTTTACAGAATAGGGCAGCAGGAAAACCTCATGTCAGTTACGTAGGTATCAGAGTATCAAATGGAACTATCTCACGACTGAAGCAGCCCCTTCCTGTGTAAGCCATGGGGGTTTGCAAACGTCCCTTAGAGATTCTTCTGTTACTCTGGAGTCAGACAGCATCCCAATGCAGCCAGAAAGAACCTGGTGTGGTGCTAGCATTCCCGGGCCTCTCTCATCTTCAACAGAGCCTTGAGATTACCTGTGCCCTTGAGCTGATGAGTAACACCTGATGCTGGGGAAGACCTCTGGTACTCGTAATTCTGATTTGAAAATTCATCTCGGTGTTACTGCAGTTTACTCTAACAAAGAAGGACTTGAAATTGTATCAGAAAGTTGGTGAATTCCTAGAAAAGATTTGTCCTAAGCATTGAGATCGGAGAGATAGATGAAGCAAATGAAAAAATTGAATATTTTGGTATTATGCTTGTCAAACAGCCAGAGCAAAAGTTCAGATGTGTCACTTGTTGATTTATTTTGCTTTCTTCATCAATAAACCCTCTCTCTTTTTCTCTCCCTCTAGGAATATATAAATATAGATATAGATATACATGTATATGAATACATATATATTTAAATAAAGGTCATGTACTTTGGTTAAGACCACAATATAATAAGAAGTACCTAACCTGACCTTCTTGCTTTTATCAAATAAATTTTAAAAGAGGATGAGGTGGGACCCTTACAGCACAATTAGAAACTGGAAATAAGGAACACCAGTGGGTTAAGGATTGAAGTAAGCTGCGGCATCATCCTTTGATTCCCTTTCCTGGGAAAACGCAGCGTCCCTGGGAAACGAATGAAGGAACCTCTAGAAGAACCCCATGCTTGTTCCTGGGTTTAGAAGGATGAGAAAAAGAGAGTATGGGTACTGCACCACTGCAGAGAGCAGCATTTGAAAGCAATCCAAAAGTTCTTCAGTTGATCATGTATCTAAATCAAACGGAAATCTGGCAGGGAGATATGGGTCTGTGTATGTGCATACTTTCCTCATAGGAAGTTAATGGCCAACACCCTAAACCCAGCTGTGTTATCCGGGGCAGAAGCAAGCTGTGAGACTAATGGCTCAACACCACTGGGACACCAATGAGCTGCGATGAATTATATAACACAAAGTCAGTGATGCCTGGAGGCACCTCACCGAGTTCATGTGAAGAGAGAGGTGATAAAAGATGACAAAAGAACAGCTCTAACATATGGATAGGACAAATGGACAAAGCGTAAAGATATAGTAGATATAAAATAAAACAGCAAAATAAGAGTTCAGTAGAACATCTTGTAAATATTTCTCAGTTCTCAGGATGAAAATTATCCGAGTATAGAAACTAAAAAGACAGAGTACCCCAAAATAATAATGACAAAAGAAGCACCTTTACATGTATCCCTGGAAAATGTCTGTATTTTAAAGACAAAGTATCACAAGCAATCTGCCAGAAATCAAAATAAAACAGTAAATCATGTTCAAAGGTGGAAAAAGGTTTAGCCTCCTATTTTCCATAATATTAAATGTCCAAAGACAATGGAGCAATATCTACGGTCCTAACCTACCCACTCATATGACCCAGCAGGTCATTCATGTGTACAGGCAAAGCACTTTGTACACATGGTAAATGAAAGAAAGAATGAGCAAGGATAATTCAAAATGGAACTAAAGTAGATGGTAATCTCAGGCATTATGATAAAAAAGAGGTAAACTAATTCTAATATTAGGTAAAAAAAAAAAAAAAAAAAAAAAAAAATTAGTTGGCTGCGCACAGTGGCTCACGCCTGTAATCCCAGCACTTTGAGAGGCCGAGGTGGGCAGATCACTTGAGGTCAGGAGTTCCAGACCAGCCTGACCAACATGGTGAAACCCCATCTCTACTAAAAATACAAAAATTAGCTGGGCTTGGTGGCGAGCGCCTATAATCCCAGCTACTCGGGAGGCTAAGGCAGGAGAATCTCTTCAACCAGGGAGGCTGAGGTTGCAGTAAGCTGAGATTGTGCCACTGTACTCCAGCCTGGGCAACAGAGTGAGACTCCGTCTCAAAACCAAAACCAAAACAAAACAAAACAAAACAAACAAACAAAAAATTAGTTCTATGATATCTATCAATAACATACCTAAAAGAAAATAATAAAAATGGAAAGAAAACATTTAAAATAAGAACTAATATGAGGACAATAAGAATTAAAAGAAAACTTGGGTCCCCTAAGCTACCTGGCTGATCTTGTGGCCATGATTTGACCACAGATCCTGGCATAGAGTTCCTCCAAGATCACAAGCCACCATTATGCCCTCAGAACATTTACTATAGCACCTGACCTCATGGATTAACTTCAGTGCTTACTATTAATACCAAGTAAATTTTTGTTTTAAAGATTTGGAGACTGACTATCCATAGTGAAACCAGCCAAAATTAGATTTGAGATGTATTTTTGTTGTCTACCTTCATATAGATTCACTTCTCTGGGGAAGGTGATAAAATTTAACGTATTATTATAATTATCATCCCCACTATCTTTGCATTCTTTCATTATGGTATCTGGAAGAGAGTTAAGGCAGTTTTCACAAAAATAAGAATTTAACAATCATTTATATAAAACATACAATTTTAGTCTTGTTTTTCACAGATTATTAGGTGTAAAAGTTGAATATAAAAATAGACACATTCTAGTTCTTAATTACATATAGTAAAAACCAAGAACAAACTTTTTAAATGCAGATAGAACATGAGGTACCAGATCAGGGATATTAAACGTCAATCGTATGTCTTGTGCTAAAATAGAAAATGTTGCAAAAATAATAGTTTTGCACCAACGAAATACCATTAGATAGAATATAATTATACTACAGTTAAGTCACACATAGTACACACGATCTAGATTACAAAATTAGTACATATCAGATGACAAAAACCCGTGATTCATTCAATGAGCTTTTGAAAGTAGACAAGACATAAACAAAAATAATAATTTTCTTTCTTTTAAGGATTGTTCTGTTCTAGGTTTCAGATCTGCAAACTGCAATGCCTGTGTAAACCACAGCCCACCTCCCCATTCTATCTTTCCAGTGTCACCCAAGGGCAGATGGCAGATGGCAGATGAAGCAAGACATCCTGATAGTTATGGCCCAAGGGATTGTCGTCCTTGAGTTCCCGCTTCTGAGATTCCCCAGAATCGTCATGAGTCCTATCCTGTCCTGAGATGTCATTGCTCAATTTTTCCTTCAAAAATATGTGGTATTCTTAACATCAATTTCCTTTTAAATTGTGCAGAGTCAATCGAACCTATTCATATATCTAATTGTAATAGATATATGGGCGATCATAGACATGCCATATATCTAATTGTAATAGATATATGAGTGATCATGGACTGTCATTTATCTTTCTAGATGTCATATTCCTTGTTTATAAAATAGGACTCATAATAATGCCCATCCAAGGGTTCGTAGGAGATTATTTGTCTCCTCACATCATCTAGAACCTTGAGGTCACCTGCATTCCCCATTTTCAAAGTCAACACTGCGGCACCTGGGGATCTCTCTCTGACCTCCGCCTCCATTGCCACGTCTCCTTCTCTGACTCTGGCTCTCCTTCCTACCCTTTATGAGGACTCTCAGGATTACATTGGGGCCACCTGGATTATCCAGGATAATTTCCCTATTTCAAGGTCCTTAATTAAAAACCTGTGGCAAGGTCCCTTTTGCCATGTAAAGTAATATATTCATAGGCTTCAAGGATTAGGATGTGGACATCTTTGGGGGGGCCATCATTCTGTTTACCACAAATGTCCTCATCATGTTCTTCTGATAGGACTTCTTATCAATTTCCTTTTTAGCCTATAAGATTCATGGAGACAATATCTGTATCTACAGACCTATTGCAGTATTGGGTGCATGGCGGTCGTGAGTTGGTAAATGTTTAACAGGTTCTCCAAGAGAAAAAGGCCTTGATTTGTGGCATTTGCAACTTCTGTGATTTAAATACTTTTATCATGGACAATTTCAAGTTCATGACTTCACTGAATGTGGAACTGGGAAAATATACATATTTGCACACCACCTGATAGAGATAATGAATCAGGAGTATTCAATCTTTTGGCTTCCATGGACCACATTGGAAGAGGAAGAATTGTCTTGGGCCACATATTATATACACTAACACTAATGACAGCCAATGAGCTAAAAACAAAAAACAAAAAGCAAATCACAAAACAATCTTATAATGTTTTCAGAAAGTTTACAAATTTGTGTTGGGCTGCATTCAAAGCCGTCCTGGGCCACATGTGGCCTCTGGGTTGCGGGATGGACAAGTTTATAATAAATAATCCCAAGGGCATAGATATTAGTGAAATGAAGTAAAATCATTAGGGTGTGTTGAGTTTTGAGAGTTACTTTTGTTTTTGTTTTAATCTAATTTATGTAATTGTAACTATATATATATGTACATAAATTATTTTTAAAAAGGCTCTGTTTAACAAACAGCTTACAAACATCCTGAAAATGTAACAATCAGCTCTCACGATTGGCTCCAGCATACCATTACATGGTAGGTATATATTAATAACAACTATGTGTTGGATGGGTGAATGAGTTAATATATCTAATGACAGTATATTAAAATGTATTTGTTAATCTTCTGACTTTTTTTCTTTTCTTTTTAAAAAAAGTTAATCTTTTCTGAAACAGTGCTAAATTTAAAAATAGTATTTGAGCATTACCTTTACTGTGTTCACAGGGCGTGACAAAACATTTTAAAGAAGTAAGATTTTGTTCTGAATTATTATCTTTTATTTCCTTTAATGCTTTGGCTATGGTCAGCCTTGAGGAAATTTGTTGATTTAGGAGAGATTCAAGACACTTAACTACTTTACATGAAATGTACACTAGTAGGTTAAATATGAAACAAACCTTATGAATACACTATTATTTTGATTTGGGAATTGTTCCACACTCGAATGATAATGTATAAATCTCTACCACATTACGGTCAAGTATTAAGATGCGATCTTTGAAATTTGAAATTGAAAAACCTCCTGATAACTTTTATTTATATGCATAATAATAAATAAAACAATGTTTAGAAAATATGGAAAGAGAACATTCTATATTTGAGCACTTAAAGTATTTTAACCTAGCACTCTCCATAGTTTTTTTTTTTAGTGAAAACACCCAACTACTATGTTTGACAACTTTTCTGTCTATTTTAAACCTTCCCATCAGATCCAAACCACAATAAAGCTTTGTAAGTCACATAAGCTTGACAGTATTAAGTCTTTTAGATATTATTCAGAATTAAAAATGTGAATTCCAGGGCACACACAAAAAACGAAAAGTTCCAAAGTAAGATGACACACAATAGTAGGATAATCAGTGATAAAATATTTGCTGAGAAAGTTCCACAACCAAGTGGAATATACACATGTGGGGAAATCAGAAATAAAATAATTGGCTAGAAAGCTTTTTAGTATATAATACCTTTTTAGTATTCTAAAGTCAATGAGGCTTTTCTTAGTTGCTAATAAAATAAAACATTGGCAAAGGAGTTAACAGTTTTCAATGAAGGGTAGGAGTATATATCTAAGCACGTGTGGGTCACAGTTGCTAAATGCAGATACTATGGGAAAAAAAAGCTAGTAGAGGGAAGAGGATTTCACAGAAAGGGCAATCAATCTGTCAAATTACCTTTGCTAAATTCATAAGAAATATAAGACAAATGGAATGAATATATATACCTGTTATTCTAAATAAAACAATCTGATTTTCCTGGGGTATATGAGTTGACAAATGTAAGATTTTTTCATTAACTTATATGAAACAAAGTAAATAAACATATTGAGTTTACACTACCATGGCTTGAAAGCATAAAATCTATGCAAAAATTGTTGGAACCACACTTAATAATTTTGATTGGGGTCAAGATTCAGAGCCATGTCAGTGAAGATTGTTTCTGACAGCCATAGTACAAGAACTAGCCTTCCCAGGCAGCACTGATTTCATGATTTACTTACACACTTCCTGTGGTGGAGCTGCTATCAGTGAGAAAAGACCCATTAGTCCTTTCCATCTGTGCCAGTCTGAAAAATAAAAATAAGGAGATTAGACAACGTGGCCACATAGGACACGGTCAATTGGATGTACATCCTTAATCATTTTTAAATTGTCAAAATTCTGACAAAACATAGAAAGATCCAAATCTCCTAACACAATTGTAAAACTAAAACATTTCATGTTGAGCTACCTTTCTATAACCACTGCCTTAATGCCTGTAGGCCTTTATCTTATGCTATGATGTAAAGTCTCCTAACTGACCTAATCTTCTAATTGAGCTCCCAGACCTAGGCTCTCCTTAACCCTCTAGTTGGTCTACATCGAAGTGAGGGTGACATTCTCAAACAAATAAAATGATGTTCTTCTCATAATAAACACTCTTCATGACTTCCTTTTAACTAAGGACATGATCCAACTCCTTAGTGGCTGAGTTTTTCATTATCAGACCTCAACTTTGTTTCTCCACTTTCTCACCTATTTCCCTTTCCCTCACCTGCAGTTCAGTAAACAAACCATGCTCTTTCCCAGCTCAATGCTTTTGAGTATATTATTCCATCAGCCCAAGACTTTCCCCTAGAAATTCTAGTTGGTCTAGACCCAGTTCAACTGTTACCAATTTTATGATGCTTGAATTAACCTTTCTAGGCATAGCTAGTTACCAGAACCACAGACACCCAGTATATACCACTTTTCTGAAAGTTTGTGCACACCATCAAGACCAGCCTACATATTATACTATTTAGAGACTCTAAAATAAACCGCATCCTAAAGCATTACCATAAATTTAATTATATATTATAATTCATATGTGAACCATCTCCTGAGAATACCTGCAATCCCACTTTCATTCACTGAAACTAGGTTACAGTATCTAAATTCTGTTTGTACAGTGTTTGGATTCTCTTTAGCTGGAGAATCACATCCTATTTAGATTTACTTTTCATAGAATACATAGCAGGTGTTTGGTGAAGTACAAATTGCATCACGAAAATACAAGAGCCCAAATTCCAAATATACTGGAATCATAACTCCCGCAAAACTGCATTCCTTAAATCAAGGTATATTAATGATATTAGATTAATTAGAAATAGATACATTCTGGGTGGCAGTGCAGTGGAGGGCTCTGATCAAAGTTTCTTACCGTGTAGCATATTGTTCTATTCTTGAATGGGTATCATCATGAAACAGTTGAGGAGATTGTGAGGGGCTTTAAAGGAAAAAAACAAAGCAACAATTTTATGCCCAAGTATTGATAGATGTTACGATTAGAAATGTTAGGTTACTGAAGTAATGAATTTGCCATGCAAACAAACCACTAGGATTGTTACCCAGAACACAGAAGTATTATTTTAGACCAAGAGTTGAGTAAGACCCCCATGCTAATACCACTGATCAGAACACCTCTCCTGCACATGGACTCTGAATACTCACTCATAGTGCTCTGGCCACATACTGATGAGTGTGATAGGACTGCAAAGAGGGGAGAGGGAGACAAAAGTCACAGAACAAACACTTTAGAGCAATTTAAGACAAAAGCACTGGGGGTGTGGGGAGATTCTCAATTATCTTCCGCTCATATATGTGGTTGCCCTGAGAGCCACTATGGGGAAATCAAAAGTAACAGAAGTAACAGTGTGTTCTAGAGGAGTCACTGTGTATTCAAGAGTCTGCAGGGGCCTTTTCACAGATATTACAGGATATTTGTTACAGGATAGCAAATACATCTTTAAACAGTCATACTGGGGAAAAAACCAGAATGCTCGAAAATAACTCAAAATTATAGAATAATTTTAAAGATAATATTCTATATTATACCAAGGGGGGATGCAATCATATTTTTGTTTTTCCTAGAGAAGAAACTTGGTTAGAAACATGAAGTTAAAAATGAAACACTACATTATATGTTGATGGCAGAGGTACAATAAAATTAGATTTTTCTGTTCTTCATCTAATTTTAAATGTAAACATTCAAACCCAGATGTATCCAAAGTACCTCAACTCACAGATCCCTTGAACAAACAGGCAACCTAGATACCACCCCTAGACCCCACCAAAAATGTCACATCATAAATAACACTGAAGGCAACTTCCTGAGATCATGATACATTTTCTACAAAACAATGTTTTTTAGAAGTTTAAACTATGAATTGATACAAGAAAATTTGTTCTGCTTGACTCAGGGGCTTGTGTCTGGAGCCAGATCATTCGGTGTCACTCTTAATGCTGGGGATGTCGCATACTGCCTAGGAATTCCCAAGTCTCCATGAAACACTTTCAAAAACAAGTGATCCTAATCAAAAGCTAGTTCCAACTCTAGCGTTCTGAGGAGGAAGGAGAGTAAATGAATGCAGAAAATGTAAAGTACAATGGAAATTATCTATTTAATTAAACAAAGTCTGCAAAAGCTAATAGTGATTGAAACAAAATTATTCCAAAACTTCTTGATTCTCCTATTTCCATTATACACATCTACTTAGGAAAAGAAAGTAGGTGTGTATAATGCCTACTTTTCTCTTCATCTCCTATAGTGAAGTGCAGGTTGATGTCTGCACAGCAAAGACTTTTGAACGTTATCTTATTGGGATGAAAAACTAAGACTCTTGAGATCTATTTTCAGAATCAGGCATTTATCCACATGATTTACCAGAATATCTATACTGTCAGTAAACTTAATTTATAGATGTGCAAAATAGATACAATAACAATAAAACAACATAGTATTAGTCAATACTGCTTCCACGTCACTGCTCTTCATTAACCCTGAAATATGTTAAATGTCAGGTGAATGATATGCTATATACTTTCTAAAAACAGTAACTGCTAAAGAGATTATTTCTAAAATTCAAATGTAGCAAAACATATGCCATGAACTTCAAATAGAAGAAAAGTGTATATATTTTTCATCTTAATCAACCTTGGAAAAGCTCTATCAAATTATTTGACTGGTTCTTGTGAACTTAATCCAGTTAGCACAAAAGTGATCCATGACCTAAGATGAGAATAGCCAGGGTAGAGAGCCGAACTAAAGGGTTTCTCAAGTTTCGTTATATAGTTGAAAATTTTCTAAAACAAGAAATAAAGATTAAAAAAAACCCTTGGGCTTCATTGACTTCAGAGAATTTTGATTTGTAGAAAAAAAGATTAAATGATAAGCTTTTTCATTTGATTTTGAAAGGGGAAAATAAGAAACTGCATAGATAGAACCTATCATTAAAAGGGCTTGGAAATAAGACCAATGTGTGTGTTAGCCCAGGCTTCAGAATGCAGCCGATCTCTGCTCTCCAGCATGGGGGCTGAACAGGTGATTTTTGTCAATCACACACTGATATTCCAGAAATCAGACTCTACTACAAATATTTAGATATTATATGAAATGTAACGCAGGCCAGGCTTGGTGGCTTGTGCCTGTAATCCTAGCACTTTGGGAAGCTGAGGCAAGAGGATCATTTAGTATCATGTAAAATGCAACCCAGGCCAGGCTCGGTGGCTTATACCTATAATCTCAGCACTTTGGAAGGCTGAGGTGGGAGGATCGCTTGAGCCCAGGTGTCTGAGGCCAGCCTTGGTAACATAATGAGACCCCATCTCCACAAAAAGTAAAACACATTAGCTGTGCGTGGTGTCATGATGCCTATAGTCCCAGCTTCTAGGGAGGATGAAAATTTTATCCAGAAGTTTAATCTACAAACTGATACGAGAAAACTTGTTCTGCTTGACTCACAGCCTTGTGTTTGGAGACAGATCATTCAGTGTCAACCTTAATGCTGGGGGGACACCCCCACAACTTCACACACTGCCTAGGAATTCCCAATCTTAATGCTGGGGGGATACCCCCACACCTTCACACACTGCCTAGGAATTCCCAGGGAGGAACGCTTGAGCCTGGGAGGTCGAGGCTGCAATGAGATAGTAAGCTGTGATTGTGCCACTGGGAAACAAAACTGGACCCCGTTTCAAACAAAACAAAACAAACAAACAAACAAAAATATATATATATACACACACTATTATATTAATATATATACACACATATATACATTTGTATATATACATAAACATATATGTAAGTACGTGTGTGTGTGTCTATATACATATATAATAGTTTTATATATAAAACCCAGACTTTGAAGAACTTAGTGACCATTTTAGTGCCTTAAATTGTCAGTAGACTCTTCCTTGTTCTTTGTCTTCTGTCTTCTTCAATCCATTTGCCCCAGAGCAGGGTAAGTGGGATCCCTGCTGCTTTTACTTAAAGACCCCCAGTGACTCCCCATTGCTCTTAGAATAAACTCCAAACACCTTGGCATGGCTTAGAAGGCTCTTCATTATATAGTTCCATTTTCTCTCTCCACTGCCATTTCTTGCCACTGTTGCTAGTTTTCCACCCCCATTTCTGAAATTATCTTGCCTCCAAGCTTTTGAAAATGCTTCCTTAGAACAGAAACTGTCCCTCTCCACCTCCCACACCAAACACGCAACCCTTAGCCCTATTAATCTTTCAGGTCTCAACTTAGCCGTCATACTTCCTCCCAGTCGGGTGTTAACTACAACCATAGTGAAACTTACATTGTATTTGGTTCTTGCTATAGCAAAGACTTAAAAAAAAATCTTTAAACTCATTTACTCCCCTTTAACCAATACCAGGGAGAGGTGTCTATTTTACTTTTTTTAATCTTTAGGGAAATCAATCTATCTCTTAAGCCAATAATAATTCTCACAAATCTTGAATTACTTTTGTTACTATTTTAGTTTGTTCCTCAGGTTTATTTTCAATGGAGTATTCTTTAATCAAACTCTACTCATTTATTGATTTATTTTCTGAAAAGTTTTGCATAATTATAAAATTAATTGAATAAACCTTAGCATGGATTTGTTTACGCCCTTTTAGTAATAACTCATTTTCCCCATAAATCCCCTCCTCCATGTATGCATGGGCAATTACTGGGCAGAGGATAAAACGTTATATTTTGCAAGGATGAAAAAGAAAGAAGTGAAAGAAAATTCTAATTAGCTTCATAAATAACTTTAACACATTTGCCACTTTGCTGGTTTTTCTCCAATGTTCTCCTCCCACAAATAGGAGAATAAACAAAATCAAACTTTTTTATTACCCACTCACATAAATTGTGACACCAGAAGATTAAGCGGTCCTGTACTAGAAAGGGCTCAGCTGAAAAGTGAACTATATCAAATCCCGAGAGCTCGGTCTAAGATTAAAAAAAGAAAACCTGCCCACTACATCCAGTAGTTCATAAATCTTTCCAATAAGGATCTTGGGGCATCTGATGCAAGCTCACACTCCTTCCTTTTTCCTCTTGTTTCCTCTCACTAAAAATGCTTATAAATTCATTTTCAGTTGAATGAATTGAGGTGAGTCATTTTCAGAATTATACCCCAAAATCACAGTACAAAATTATTTGGCATGCTTTTCTGTTAATTTTTACCTAATAGAGTCACTCAGAATAGGATGACTGATGCCAGTGATTATTTTGACATTGAAAGGCAAATTAAAAATGTTTTAAAGGAGTATAAAATACACATCTATCTGCATGATTCCTGTGAAGGGTGTAGGTATTTGGGATGCAAAATGTCAACGGTTTAGCAAAAGATTAAAAGGCACACCACTTAGTTCAAACCTATCAAATTATCCCATAAATTAAAGCACCAAGTAATAATTTTGTGCCTCAGAATTATCCATTCCAAAGGTTAATTGGATGGGAGACAAAAAAGGTACAATTTTGTCTTTATCCTAAGGCGTCAGCACAGTTAAAACATATATTAGCTACTAAGACAAATAAGAATCTACTAACACACAGGCTTTTGAAGGAAAGGATAAAAGCATACCCACAAATCAAAAAGAGGACCAAAAGTCTACTGTTCCTGAATGTATTCGAATAGCTCTCTTTAAATTGAAATTGCTTTATTAAAATCTTTTCTAGGGGCCGGGCGTGGTGGCTCACGCCTGTAATCCCAGCACTTTGGGAGGCCAAGACCGGAGGATCACAAGGTCAGGAAATCGAGACCATCTTGGCTAACACGGTGAAACTCGGTCTCTACTAAAAAAACAAAAAATTAGCCGGGCCTGGTGGCGGGCGCCTGTAGTCCCAGCTTCTCGGGAGGCTAAGGCAGGAGAATGGCCTGAACCCGGGAGGCGGAGCTTGCAGTGAGCCGAGATTGCGCCACTGCACTCCAGCCT